CAGAGCAGAAAAGTAAACTTGAACTGAAGTATCCATTGGCTTTGTTACCATATGTTGCACGCAATCTCCTTTTCATAGTGTTTTCATACGGGCATGCGGATTAATTTAACAGTTGGAAACCTTTCAAGACAGGAGCCATCTTTGTTTTCTGTGCTGGTAACACCATTCGTTTCATGCCTGATGCTATTTAGGCACTGACGGAATATAAATGAGTAACAACAGATGTTTGAGTCCCCCCATGTACGTTCGTGCAGGCACTCATTCTGCAAACACTGCTGCAGAATGCGCGGGAGCACGACACTTGGACAATTAACCTCGTAACCAGTGGGATGGATGAGTAGGATCAAGAGCTGAACGTTACGTAAGTAATAATTACATTGCAGAGCATCTTTCTGCAACGCCCTCATTCGTCTTCCTTGTAGGAGTTAGAAAACAAAAATAGCTGAATGCTTAATGAAGGCAGGCTAAGAGGAGATCACAGTCACCTCTGAATCCATTCCAAAGCACAGCTCCCAGCCTGACGGCAACGCGTTCTCCGTGGTGCCACTTGGTGGAGCTTAGTGATTTCGGCTATCGCAGGCATTGTTTTGCACTTCTTTTTTGGTTACACAATCAGCTGGCACTGGGCCCTGGAAACTGACAAAATCCCCGCTAAAGAAGTAAAAGCAGAAGTATACCAGAAGATCTGGTGAAGAAGATACTGACTCCAGTTGAATTTGGTAGTCATCACTTCTCTTCCTGAAAGCAATAAAATATACAGTGTTTGATTTTTTTAAAAAATAAGAATATAAAGTGCTGGCTTAAGGCTTTGGCATTCTTGATATATAGGAGGAGAGAGGTGTTGAATTATGTCATGTTTTATTTATTTTTAAGTTTAAAAATAGCATTAGGAAATTTGCCTTTAAAGTTTTATCTTTATAAAGTTTTCTGTAATAAGGGCAACGTGTGCATGCATCTGCGTGAAGGACCTCACAGCAGTTCAGATGTGTGCTTTTCCTCAACTCACAAGCAAAGAGCGAGCAGCTCAGTGGTTAAATAGGAGAATCATAGAATCACAGAAATCACAGAATCATTAAGGTCGGAAAAGACCTCTAAGATCATCCAGTCCTACCATCCATCTACCACCAATACTGCCACTGACCATGGCCCTCAGTGCCACATCTACACGTTTCCTGAGTACTTCTATGGACAGTGACCCCACCACCTCCCTGGGCAGCCCATTCCAGTGCTTGACCACTCTTCAAGAGAAGTTTTTCCTAATGCCCAACCTGAATCTCTCCTGGTGCAACTTGAGGCCATTTCCTCTCATCCTATCAAAATGGTTGATCACACCCCACATCTGCCTATATCTGCACCAGGAGCTAGTCAGTGTAATAAAACTGGAGCTGGGATGTGGGCTAATTATGTGCTCAGAGCTATGTGGAAACCAAGGGTATGATATCTATGGGACAGGACAGGTGGTGGGTTTTTGTCTTCCCCATAGGAACTGGAAGGAATAAGTGTGCAGCACCTTGTCACTGGAGTTCTTCTCATGTTCTTAACAAAGAAACATACCATTACATATTTATCAAGTATCAAAACTGACATTCTATCAGTGTTCTTCTGGTTGGCATTTGACAAGGAGCTCTGGGAGCCATCCAGGGCTGGCTGTGATCATCTCTAACACCCACACTATTGGCTGATGTTTGCTGCCTGGCCATCAGTACTTACTACACTAAGAAAAGAGCAGTGCAAAGTATTTGTGCCCAGAAGGAGGACAGAGCTCTAACCGACCCATAGTGCCCACAGAACTTCCTTGCACAGTGCTCACTCTTTGCTCATGCCCTGCCTGCACTGACAGATCCCATTAGCTCAGGGTGTTGCATATTTTCAGATGGCCTCGTGGTGCTCCAGTAGGACAGCCCGTGGAAGGCCAGAAATCCCATATGTTGGTCACTTGGCACTGGCTCTCCATACACACAGGTGTTTGCTTTCAGCCACGTGTGCCACAGTCTCTACATTACCTATGCTGTTTACCTGGTGTCTGTTTTCTCTGTTCACTTTACCGCTGCAGCAGAAGCACTTCAGGATTTCATCTGTTGCTCACAGCAGGGCTCAGTGCCTGTGGTCAGGAAAGTGGCTAAGAGCCCCTGTAGCCTTAAGCCCCGCCGCTGCTCCTTGTTCTTGTTTGTAAAACAAGCCTATTTGCTGGCATGTTTGTTGCATGTTTGTTAGTTCTACCTGTTCTGCTCCGTCCCTTACTTTTCTCTACGCCTTATTTAGCTCCATCCATCAATCGTGTTTATCAAGTATAGCAGAGATCATAACAGAAAGTGGTACAAGTAAGGGGAGAGAGATTTAAAAAACACCACTGCGCTATCTGAGCTCCTGCAATCCTCGTGGTCACACAGAATTATCCAGAAATTAATTGAGCAGCCCATTTGCATTTATTGTAGGCTCAACGCCATCATTTCCTGGCAAATAAAAGTAGATAAATAATTAAATACAAATTTCTGAATTAACACAGTAATCTTTGAATGATCCTTGGTCAGATTTGGGTGGGGGAGGTGACAACATGCCTGCCTGGAAAGGAAACCTCACCTTCAGGACACGGCACGGGGATGAATGTTACAGTGATAAATGGTTTCTGTGTCACTGCAGAGGGCAAATAGAGGCATTTCTGCACTTTGGATTCAGGTGATGCCATTTCCCCACTGCTGCTGCCCACTCTGCTCTACCTGCCAGCTGAGTTTGCTACAGTATCCACGATTTCACTGCACAGAGACCCTTTTTAACATGTTTGCAATAAACATTTGTACTAACCTGATGACTTGAACTATTGCATCTATAAACAAATAGCCAGAACAGAACATGAATGACCTAACTGAGGCTATATTGTGAAAGTGGGTCTTTAAATTATTATTCTTTTAAAGAAAACACAGGTCTTGTGCAACATGGCGTTGGGGCTGGTAGCATATGTGCAGCAGGAAGAGCACAGCATCCGTGCAACTGGAAGTGGCTCTCCAGAAGTATTTGACCCACTTTCAATTAAGTAATAAATTAGAAAGAAAACAAGTTAATAGAAATCCAAAGGCCTATATATATGTTTTCACAGTCCAGTGCAAACATTTATTTTAAACGAACACAAAATTTCTCAGCATCCAAGCACAGGGAAGTCAAGCTGTTACGAATGGGGAACTGGACTTAACTTTCTTACTGCAAACTAACAAATAGCTATCGATCAATCAATCTATTTATCTATCTATTTACCTACCTACCTATGTATGATGGCTGCTCTGAAAGTAATGCCTCCTACCTTATGATGTTGGCCCATGATGTCAGAGGTGGATGTTGGTGGTATAGCAGTAGAGGCTGAACCTTCCCACCAACATCCGGTGACATTTTGTTGCCGTGTGACAGATGGCAGCAGAGGGGTGGTCTGATTAGAATGATGTCTGACATGAAGTGTGTATGAAGCAAAGGGGTGGAACTGAATTCTTCCATGTGGAAAAAGATGGCACCCACTAACATTCATCAGTGCTTACTGAGCACTTATGGAGACCAAACAGTGGGTGCTGGCACAGTGAGGGGCAATGTGGTGTGCTCCAGCAGTGGTCAGGTGCTGCTACTGGCAAGACCTCCACCCATGAGGCTGTGGCAATGAGGGGAGCACCAGCCCTCACGTGCACTCTTCTTTCTGGAGCCCCAGCAAAGCAGTGCCCTAAGTCAGAGCCATTTCGTTCTCTCCTGGGACTGGAGAAGGATTCAGGGCACTTACCCTTCCCTGCCTGCTTCTTGGTGCCTTCCTCCTGTGTTCTGCTTACAGGGCTCCTGTCTGGGCAGTTAGGGCAGCACTGCCAGCAGTGCCTTGGTAGCTTCACGCAGCACACAGAGCTGTGCTCTGTGCCCCAACTGCACATCCTGCAAACACTGCATTGTAAGGGAATGCTTCAAAAAGCAAACCACTGAAAGATAGAATGTTTCAAAACACCGAGTTACTATTCACCAGCCACGTCTTTACAATAAACAGCAGATCTTCAATTAAAAGAAACACCTGCTTTCTTATTGTAAAGTTGTTTTTTTTAATGGTCCCATCAAAAAATGAATAATTAAAAGAAAAAACTGATTATGATTGCTTGGCAGACACCTTCTTTGCACACAGAAATCTCAGGTAATAATTAACAATCAGTTCTCAGATTTATTTAATTAAATCTTAATCACCAAACCATACTGAGCGTGTTTGTTGGAACTTCATGCCTACAATTGCGGGCTGTGCAGGGCGGGGTGCCGGATCGTCCCGTGGATGCACCGAGCAGCACCGTCCCGCTGCGGTGGGCACAGCCCCGTGTGCGCGGCCCGGCCCGGCCTTGGGCGGCAGCTCGGGATCCCCCGCCCGGCTCAGGGCCGCTCTCCGCTCGCACGGCGCTGCGTCGGCAGCCGGGGATGGAGAGAAGAAGCAAACAAAGGAAAATCCCGATCCATGTGGCGGGCGGCGCGCTCAGACCCGCAGCGCCGACACCAGAGGTGCCGCAGTGAATTATCAAACGCTGTGAATGAGTTATGCTCGTCGTTCCATCGATTATGAAAAATTACGAGCAGGAAGGAGGCTGGGTTCGCGGCACCTGCCGTAGCGGCCGCTCGCCGCAGTCACCTGTGCACGCACGCGGCGTCGGGGCCCGCCCGGCCGAGGCTGCTCCGCGGTGCCGCCACCGCATCGCTCGCCCCGCCGCCCCGCTCCCGCCCCGCACGGCGGCGGAGGGCGCTGCGCAGCGGGGCGCGGTGGCGGCTGGCCGGGGCCCTCCCATTGTTCGCGGCCGGGGGCGGGCCGTGCCGGGGGGGTCCGCCCTCCGCCGCCTCATTGGCGGCCCGCGAGCGCCGGTGCGTTAAATGGGGCGCCCTCCGCGCAGCGCTTCTCATTGACAAAAGCGCGGCGGCGGCGGCGTGGGGCGGGGGCGGAGGAGCGGGGCCGGGGCGGGCGGGGGGCGGCCGGCGCCCATCGCCCATGGGGGCGCGGCGGGGGCTGCCGCAGGGCTGAGCCGCGGGGGCGGCACTGCGGGCAGGGAGCGCTGCGGCGCGGAGGCGGGCCGCGGGGCTCCGGCATCGCGCTCCCCGCACACGCAACGCGCACACACACTCACACTCACACTCGCGCACGGCGACGCGCACACGCGGCGGTGCCCGCCCCTCTTCCCATCCCCGTCCATGGCGCTGAGGACGGCGGCCCCCCGCTCCGCACGTAAGTAAGCGGCTCCGCCGCGCCTTTGTGCCCGCAGGTGCACCTGCCCCCGCCGCTCTCGGCTCCTTGCCGGGGGTTTGGGGGCGGGCGGGGCCGCTGCCGGTCCCGAGGCGGCTCCGGGAGGGGGGTGGACTGCCGGGCCGGGGCCCGCGGCGGTGCGTCAGGGCGCTGCGCTCTGCCTTCCCCCCGCAGGTGGCCCCGGGGCGGCCCGGCGCGGGCACGGAGCGCGGTGACTTCCCCAGGCCGGGCGCCGAGACCTCAGAGCCGATGGAAAGCGGGGGCGATGCCGGAGCGGCATCTCGGCGGGGAGGCGGCGGGTTCCCGGGTGCTGCCCGGCCCGGCGCTCCCCCGGCTGCGGACGGCGGCGTGAACATGGATGGGCCCGGCGGGAGCGGGGCGGCCCCCGCTGCGGGGCCGGGAGTGCCCGCGCCGCCGCCCCGAGCGCCGTGCTCCAGGGACCCCAAAATGGTCCATCAGCGGTTCCTGCGGCGGAGCGTGGTGGACTCGGACCAGGAGGAGCCCGCGTTCGACCTTCCCGAGTCGGAGCATCAGAGGAAAATCATCCTGCTCCCCAAAACCAGGAGGATAATCGCGGAGAGGGCGAAGGCAGGGCACGGGGCGGCGGAGAAGGTGTGCCTGGAGGCCGAGCCCCCGGGGCCGCTGCGGGCGGGGCCGGCACCCGGCGGTGCGGCGGGGCCCGAGGAGCAGAAGGAGGCCGGCAGGGATGCGGAGAGGAAGGAGGCGTCGGACGCGTCCAGGGAGCAGGGCAAGGCCAAGAAAGAGGAGCCCGAGGAAGAGGCTGACATGAAAGCGGTCGCCACCTCGCTGGATGGCAGGTTCCTCAAGTTTGATATTGAACTCGGGAGGGGATCCTTCAAAACGGTCTATAAGGGACTGGACACGGAGACGTGGGTGGAAGTCGCTTGGTGTGAACTTCAGGTAAGCTCACCCTCCCGTACGGTTTCGGGTTTTTTTTTTTTGCTTTGTAAGCCCCGGCGCTAAGGGCAGCGTGCCGGTGTCACCCGCGGCAGCTCGGCTCCGAGCAGCCTTTATAGCCCCCACCGCTCGGTACCCAGCGTCTAACTATAGCGCAGTGCCCTCATTGGCTCCGCACCCACCACCTTATGCGCACTCCTCCCCGCATTAACTCCCTCCGCCCCGCACTGCCCGCGGGGCTGTACGGCTCTCGGAGGCTGCGGGGAGCTGAGCCGAGCCCCGGCCCCGCAGCCGACACTGGGGCTGCAGGAGGCAGAGCTGCGTTTGGCAGCGGGTCTGGGCTGGAAGCACTCAGTGTGTACGCTGACTGCAGTGCATTTGCAGAGGCACGTTGTCCTTTCCCTGTGAATATGGGTGTGAGATGCTGTGCTGGTGTTGGGAGCTGTGCTGTCTCTCTCAGCCCTTCCTTGCCCTTTCCTCTCTCCTGACGCTGGCAGTTTATGTTGTGAGTCTCAGGCTGTGCCTTCTGTTAGGTGCTCTGAGCCCGCGTTGCAGTTCAGCTTTGTGCTCCAATACATCTAAAAGTAAGGCTAAAAATAGTAGCTCTGCTTTGGGTTCTGGTTCTTTGCAGTGGAGTCACCTGGTAATGCCTAGAGAAGATGCAGGGTGTGCCTCGTGCTGTTCTAGGACATCATTTTTAAACCATTATTTTGTAGTGCATATATGTTCTCCCTTCTGGATTTATATTTCTGCCATGTTCACTAAAGTGAGAATATATATAAAGCAGGATATTATTTCTTTCTCAAATCTTTTAGAGCCTGTTCCTTACCTCACTTCCATTAACATCCATTTGAATAGAACTTTGGGAAAACATAAAATCCATATATTTTTAAATTTTATTTTTCCCTTGAGTTATTACTTTGAGTTCCACCCCATGATTTGGGTGGGAATCAAGCTGTTTGATCCTGATTCTGACCCTGGACCCTTTGGTCCCAAGCTGCCTGCTGAGTGGCAGCATTGTGGGTCATGGGAGAGTGTGAGCAACACATAAATACTGTGATACACCACACTTATTCACACGTGAATACTGTGATGCACTCAGCTTGAGCTGCCTATTTTATTAGGGCTGGCACAAACTCTTTGTAAATTACCACCAGCCTGATGGGATGGGCAGGGATGGATGTGCAGCCTCATCCCTATTCCCCAATGGCTTCCTTGTAACAATATGGTTGTGATTCACTGCAGTGCTGCTCCCTGCTAGGAAGCATAGGCAATACTCCTCAGTCTTTGCCACCGTTTCTCTCGTTGGCTGTCATTAGGCAGAGCTGTGAGGTGTGCGGAGGCCTGGCACATCATGGCCACGATGTGGAGGAGGGGCTCAGTCCAATTTCCACTCCCAGCAGTGGGGGGTGGGGGTCCGGGTGGGAAGGCTCCAGGATTGCCAAGAGGATTGAAGGGAGTGCTAGGCATATGTGGTGCTGGGAGGGGGGCTGGGAGGCCCTCATCTCTGTTTGGCTGCTGCTGGGGACTGAGCCCTGATGAGCGAGGCTTTTACTCCCCTAATTCATTTAGGGCAGTAATTCAGATCCCCTCTGGGGGAATGTGTGTGTGCAGGAGAGGGCTGGGGCTGCTGAGCTGTCTGCTCTGACCGGTGCATGTGAGCTCTGTCATAACAGAGCCATCACACAGAGCAGGAATTCATTTTGCTGCCAGGTTTTCTCAGTATCCTCAGTAGGGGAATTAGATTAGAGATTTTCCAACATATTTTTCATAACAGAATAGCTTCAGCTACAGAGGACTGCCTGGTTTGGAGAGTCCATTCTATTGAAATTCACTGTTTGGGTCATTTAAACCGGAGGAGGAGGCTGGGAAGGGAAGTTTGCAGTGCAGCATGAGGTTTGACTGGTTTTTCATTGTTTTTCATATTCCTTGTTATGCTTGTTTAGGAGTTCCTGAGCCCACTGTTTGTAGAGAAATCAGCTGTAGTAATTCCACAGTGCCCACCTGTTTCAGTTACAAACTGTGCTTCAGCATAAGCCAGGTCTTACTACTGGGTAGTCCAAATGCAATGCAGAGCTTGATTTAGACCTCTAACCGTAGGAACAATCTTTATTGTTAAGGTACTTAAGAGAAATGAGTGCCACTCACCTGAAGTGTTACAGCTGTGGTGTCTCTTTAAGATGGAGGTTTCTCAGGTGTGCAGGTGATGCCAGAGGCTGGGTAGTGTGTGTGGGGGGGGGGGGGGTGTGAATTGTGGTCTGCAGTGAGAATGTGCAGCTGGATGACATGGCATTGGTATGTGAGGCCTTTGCCTCAGGGTTAATTGGAAGAAGGAGGCAGTCAGTAGGTGTGAGTCGCTCTGCATTGTCTGGAACCTTTTAACTTGTACAGCACTTATTTCAGCTGGGGATTCTTATTGCGTGCATCAGAGTGCTGTGAAGGAATGGCTTCAGTCGCAGCCTTCTGGATGCTCTTGTGTATGCTGCACTGTTTTGATATGCTTCTGTCTGTAGGAATGCTGTGCTCAGATATACTTAGCAGTAGGCTGAAGGAAGCCATGACTGCTGAGCTGCTGAAGACAAAATGACGTCCTTTACAGTCTCACACAATTGGAGGACCTTTTTGCAGGATAACTGCGTTGTGTTTTCTTTGTCTTTCTCCTGCAGGTGCACGTGTGCCTCTTGTTTTTAACTCTCAAACTCTAAAAGTGAGCAGTTGAGGTTGTGCGCAGGCATTAATCCCCAGTCCTGGCTCACAGCTCTTTCAGACCCCCTGGTACTGCTGCCTGGTGTCCGCCTCTTTTTGTCCATCTGTACAGAGACCTTGCAAGCCAGTAAAGTTCAGTGCTTTTATTTCAGTGAAAAGATGGTTTTAGGGTTCAGAAGCAAAATCGTGGCTAGGATTACAGCAGGATCCAAGTGATAACAGTGAAATCTGGGTTTTAGACCTGTCTGCGAAGACATGAAAGCTTTAGTCAGATTCTAGCGAGAAAATGAGTTTATTGTTCCTTCTTGAAACTGAACGATTGGAATGGGATTACTGTGCCTTGCAGTTTGGAAGGATTTGCATTCTAAGGTTGTCAACAGCTATAATTAATTTTAATTGGTGTCATACAATTGCTCTGTGGTGAGGCATCGGTAACAGTATTTCAAGTGTTGTACTCCTAAGTAAAATGTTAGGTCATGAATAAGGACTGCAGGCCTTTGCCAACCTGCTGCTGGCAAGCCAAATGTGCTTTTCTAGTTAAATGAATGGCTTCCAACATCCCCATCCTTCTCTCCTTTGGGAGCGCATGGGGAAGCTGCAGAACAGTCTCACTCAGTGCTATCTCAAATGCAAAGACCTCATCTTATGCCTTGGTTCCTTTTTCAGTGCTGATTACTGGGGTGCTCTGTGTGAGCGCTTTCCTCATCTCCATGTGAGATTAGAAATCAGGGTGCAAAAATAGCTGACTGTGCAGAGCTACCAAACACAGGGTGTTGAAATGGCCAACCACAAACAGACATGGCAGGGAGATGATATATATATGTATTATATATTGCCACCACTGAAGTATTCAGGAAATTTCTTTATGGATAAAGCAATATTCTGTTGATTGTCACTGGTGTGGTAGTTTTTTTATGATGTCCTTGTTGGCTGACAGCATTTGTCTGATGTCAGAAGAGCAGATTGTTACTATCTGGGCTGTTAATTTATTGGCTGGGTGAACTTTGTAGTGTAAATGAACAGAATAATTTCGGGAGAAGATGAAGAAAGGAGGGAGAACTCTTCTGGAAGCTTGAATCTGATATTACTGTGAGCTCATTAAGTTATCTCCAAGACCAGTTTTGTCTACCCCAAGTTAGTTTTTGAGATGCTGCTGTTTAAGCCTAAACAATTGGTTTAGCTCTGCTTCACAGCAACAATATGAAAACGTGCCTGTATTACTGGTGTTTGTTAGTAGAGCTGTCTCCATGATACAGAGAAGCAGGAATAGGAACATGGTAGTGAACTATTAATAGACTGCATCTCAAATTCACTATATGAAATAGGGTTGGGCCAGGCTTCAGATTCATTCCTTTGAATGAAACGAGACTCCTTTCCTCTGCTGTTGAGTATGTTTTCCCTAAAGGTTCACTGTATGCTCCCATAGTCCTGTTTAAGCTGTTCTCTCTAAATGTGTGTGGTCCTGTTGCAGTAAGAGGAAAAGCCTGCAAATAAAGTCTTTTTTTTGGTGTAAAGGATATTTCTGGTCCCTTTGGTCATCTCTTGTCTGCAGCTGCAGACGGGGGAACTGGTTTTTGCATGCTGTCATCTTAATGTTTGCAGTTGATACACAATCTAATTCATGTGTGTATAACATGCTTGCTTTTGTGGTCTGGTGGTTGCTTTGCTTTGTGGTTAGAGTGTAACAGAGGGCTGAAGAGAGAGCTCAGCAGTGCTGATGATGTGCTAAAAGAAGGATGGCAGCAGCAGCTGAGCTTCTGTTGCTGCCAGGGCTTCTCCATGCTCTGATACCATGCAGTATCAGAGGTGTGGTAGGGGTTGGGAGGGTGGATTGCTGGGTGTGAAGGGGCTGTGGTGAAGGTGTGGATGGATCTGCATCCCAGGAGCCAAGCTGGAGGGATGGTTTTAGGGTAGGTGCTGAGAAGAGCTGTTGGATTGAAAGAAGGTCTGTTTCTAGACTTGCCATTTCACAGCTGTTTGCTATGAGCAGCAGGATACCAACCTACAGCTTCAGTGGGGTCTGTGGCAGGCTTACAGTGGTGTTTTCAGGCCAGGGTGAGCGCTGATGTGTGATACCCAAACAGCCTGTGGGTGTAAGAGCAGAGCCAAATGTGTTGTGTGAGATGTATGGGGCTTGGCTTGGCACAGCACTGCTGTTGGAAGAGACATCTTCATTGCTCTGGAATAGGAGTGATTTATGCAAGTAATGCTTGGAGAATATCTGAAACAGTCATGCAGTAGCAGAACAGGTTTTCCAATTGCTTAAGTTTGTACATGTGGAATTGAAGTTACATCTG